GAAGCTTCTCGGTCGTTTGAGCCTCGTCGAGATAAAAAAAGAGTTTAATTTTTAAAACTATTTTGTTAATGAAACGGTCAAATTAATTTTATCAACGCATTCAACATTTTTAGATAGCGGTAGTTTGAATCATTCAGTTTATCAGATGACTTTGAATTGTGAGATCAACGTTTCATAGTATAAAATATGTAAAACTGATATTTCTGTTTGTCTCTGTGTCCGATTAGTTCTTGTAAACTACGGGAACAGATTTTGATATAGATTTATTATCATTTAGATAATTTCTTCTGGAAGTTTTAAATGTAATAAATATATACATACATATATTAATATGTTTAAATTATTCTGCTAACTACTACTACTAATACTAATTTAAATATTCTCACTACAGCACAGTATCCTAATATACTAAGCCAAACCCAGGTCGGGTTGAAGATCTAGAATAATATAGCATTCGGAACCTCTCCATCTTCTTCATTCTCATTCGGAAAATGAGATTGTTTCGAAATTTTGTTTGATTTTACCATTTCTTGCGCTCCTTAAGACGGCCCATTTTAATATAATCCGAATTAGAAACATAACTTCATTCCGCATGGCGAAGTATGTGAAAGGACAATACTATTATTACCACCATGTCTATTGCCATTGTAAAAAATCTTTTAAATGCTAAAACTAAGTGAAAGCAATGTAAAACAAAATTGGACTTCAACAACATACCGAATACATTTGAATCAATGTCGTCCTAAACAAGAGTTAGGAATAAAATGAATTCTACTAAACATCTGTACAGTCCTTTCATCTGATAAATATAATTTTAATTCTAATAAAGTTGACAGTAACGCAGTTACTGGCTACAGATACTAACGGATTCTATTACGGTATAATGTAATAATTCGTCTAACATTATTGCTTTAATTTTGAACGTTACGAAAGATTTCTTAGAGGATAAACTTTATTAGTATTTCAAGAAAGTAGGCTTTTGTGTTTTAATGTGAAAGTAGATAAGTTTTATTCAACTCAAGTATAAATTATTAATATTTATGAATAAGTCTGATCCGAAACGGTAATGACTTTTTGGCTTTTTTTTGTTGTGCATTAGCTTCGATTTGAATTTTGAATCTTAATAACTAATCTGATACTGGTGGTTAGGCGTCTTGTGATCTTGCTCGGGTAGGTTCCACCCCCTTGCCTATTGCTGCCGCGAAGCGGTAATGTAAGTAACCATTGTACTATTGTACTAAGACTGAGACTTAGAACCCATGTTTCAAGGTGGGTGGTGGTATTTGCGCTGTTGATGTATATGGTCTCCGGTAGCCACTTAACAGCACGTAGGTAGCGAGCTCTTTGACCCGTGCAGACAAAAACTAATAATCAACTAAGTTATACAGAGGATGTATGTAAGAGAAATCAAACTAATTTGAAAGTACACAACTTGAAGGTGGGTGGCGCATTTACGTCGTAGATGTCTATGGGCTCCAGTAACCACTTAACACCAAGTGGGCTGTGAGCTCGTCCACCCATCTAAGCAATAAAAAAAAGTACACACACTACAAGTAAACCATTAATTCATATACGATTTTTTATAGCATTTCTTCACAATAGAACGTTGAATCAATTTGTAATGTAGATTTTTATGGAAATTACAACATTGTGCTTCCTGAGCATAGATTAAGTAATGCACTAGCGTCGGCTTTACTTTCATGCTGTACAATTACGTAGAACAAGTAGCTGGCTGTATGGCGCCTCTTCAATTAAATGGCGAAGATAATGACAATGTAAGGCTTCTTAGATGTATTAATGGATCGTGTATCTTTCGTCATCCATTCTCACCGGCTTTAATCTAATACTACATGTTCAAATATGTAAGGCTTCATATTCATTTCATTAGATTTATCACAGCCGCGGTTGAGTTGGTTGATAATAAAAAAATATGTACATATATAGAATAATATAAAAAAAGACGTGTGGCACTCGGGGACTGCCGCGGTAAAGCTATTGCAAAGCATTTTTTATCAATTTATGCAATTACAATTAGACAATAATAATTTAATATTATAACAATAATAAAAATAAGACCACACTATATTTATAAACATTAACAAAAGCAAACAATAACTGTCCCCTTCACACTCATAAGCTAGTCCGCGTGAGAGAGAGATGGGCAGACTTTTCATGATGCTCGTGCAGTGCGACGTCACGCCGCGCGCTTCTTCACAAACACTACACCAGCGCAACGTGTGAATGTGTTGAACACGAGCTACATAGTAGGCGTAGTGGGGGTGTCAAGTTATTTTCGTTACGGAATTTCTTGATTCAGTCGCCGCGGTCAAGGCCCGCGATAGAAGCTATGCAATAGCTTAAAAATCATTTAAAAATCAATTCAATTATTTACTGGTGAACGATTGTATCACTTTCATCTTGTTGTTACTTCCGGGTGCAATGTACTAACTAGCAAAATCAAATTTAAAGTAATGTCCCGTGATAAAATGCCTCTACAAAAACTAGTAATCTAGTTTAAGCGAAATAGTGTTTTCAGAAACGTATTTGCCACGTTCGTTGTACAGAACATTTTGGTATGTTACAGTCTTCAAAGAAAATTGATGTAGTTTTATTTATAGGTACATGTTTTTACGAATTTTACGACATTCTTAACTTATCAATAGTGCTTATTAAAAGGCATGAACAAACTTCAATGCTATGTATGTGTGTTTATGTTAAATTATAGGCATTATTATTTATTAATAGACGAAGATATCATTATTACACCGCAATCGATTTTATAATAAATTGAACAGGAAGCCAGCCAGTTTTCATGTACAAAATCCATACTTGGTTGCCTAAGAACAGAAGTATTCTATAAAACTATAAAGACTTTTTATGTCACTAATAAGGCAACTACAAAATATGAATAGCTACTTTGATCACTATAACTTTATCACCTAATAGGAACTTCAAATAAAGAGTTGGCGAACGTATAGCTTTGTTCATAGAAATATTGTTTTCAAAATACTTGAAAATTAGGAACGCTTGGGGACTTAATTTTGCGCATTTTGCATGTCACTGTAACATTGGTAGCCATTTTGGAATAAATGTTATTATTAGCATTATAATCCTTTCACATTTAATCCCTTCATTATTCTATTTGAAATTCAAAAGTTTTCAAATCCTATAGGTTCCTCTATTACACACCTTCATAAAAGAATAGGAATGCCAATGAAAATGTATCTATGTCTAAAAAATAAATATGATTTTCTAAAAAATATTAAACTTTTGTCAGTCTTCACAATATGTCGTAAAATAAAAACTAGGAACTTTTAAATCGTTAATCGTAAATTACCAAAATCAACGGGGTATTTAAAAAAAAAAAAAACTATATTTATTTGTAGTCCTAGTGAAAACATTCCTACTCCTCGCGTCGTTTCCTCACTGCTGAGGTTCCAGAACATCATATTTCGACAGGATTTTACTCTTTGTAATGTCCCTCCAGCGCCTCCGATCATTGGTCGCATGACGGGCTTCGTGGAATGGGATCTCTAGTGTGGTACGGATTTGGTGGAACCACCTTGTCGGACTGCCGCGCGGTCTCTTTCCCTCGATCAGTGAAAAATCGAGTGAAAATATTACTTCAATAACATTTCAAATTTCAGTCTACAGATGCCTTTGAAAGTAACATTATCTTCGTTGACAGCCAAACAGTAGCGTGACAAGTGATGGCATTTATTGAAAACCAAACGACTGTAACAAATGTCCGTTCATATTGCAATCTCGCAAATAAGAAACAACTACAGGCTGCAATTAGACGGTTTATAGTTTTTTTTTTGCAAAACAACAGTGACCGAGTTCCGCGAAAGTGTTAATGGATATTGATACCGAGTTTTAAACATTTAAATTTACCGTTGCTTGATTGTCCTTTTTATTTTTAGAGATCTGTAATGAGAGTGTTTATTGTTGTTGCTTTTTATTGTTTTTTTTTTTCGATTATAAATTTACAATTTGTTTTATAATGAAGTTCGGTTCGTCGCGGATTATCTGATTTAGTTTCTCTTAGAAAAAATATATTCGGATAATGCGGCGCTTTATAGGTACGTAGCGGTTATTGTTATCTACAGTAAAATTGCCAATGCATTTTTTACAAACACTTACTCGTACTATAGTGGCACATATATTCACAGTTTGTTGCTTAATTACCGTAGTGTTGAGCGAAGTAATTACACAGGCATTAATAGTGAGACCATTCGTTAATATTAAATCACTTAAGGCGTTGTACAAAGTACACACGTATTGAATAAAACTTTAAAATAACAAAAAGTACAACATTTATTAGTATTATTATGTATTTTTTTTATTGTTTAAATGTTGTTAAGTAGATACCGGAACCGGAATCTTGAGATATGAGATCGAAGTTTCAATTTTAAAAGACCCTTCAAACCCCTTACCCTTCAATAAATTTTGCTTATTTGATTTTCATAGAACGATGTTATTTTATGAATAATTTTGACAGACTGATTACGTCACTGGTGGTAGGGCGTCATGTGAACCAGCACGGATAAGTAGCACCAGTCTGCCTATTTCTGCCGTGAAGCAGTAATGCTTTTCCGTTTGCAGGGTGGGGCAACCGTTATATTGTAAAAACTGAGACTTTGAACTCATGTCACAAAATGGGCGGCGGCGTTGACGTGGTTGATGTATATGGGCTCCGATGACCACTTAACACCAGATGGGCCATGAGCTCGTCCATCCATTCAAGTATTTAAAAAAAAAACGTTTTATTGAATTTCGTTCATTCCATAAAATTCCAAAATTATTATCGGTCCGGTTACCGGTCAAGCCGCAATTAACAACAAAATGCTCTATTTTCAACTTAAAGTGAAGCCCTGTAGCACACTTTTCAAACGGTCAAGGGGCTTAATTTGTTTTTTTTTCGAAAACTCGACTTTATGTACTCGTAAAAGGGAAGCTAATGATGCTATTATAAAGTCTTATAATTTAAATTGTTGCAGCTTCGTCCTCAATCCTCTAACGCCTGTGCAGGAAACAAGATGTCTGTTACAAAACGATACACAGGCCAATAACCCCATGGCAACACCGCAGGTAAAAATTGTTTTTATTAGTCAGTAAGTTTTTTTTCGCAAACATATAGCAGTAACGCAAAAAAAAATTTTTTTTTATGCATTGTTCATTTGTCTTTTAGATTTCAATTGCTTCGTCAATGATCCGTATTTAAAATAGTTTATGATTATGATTCTGTACAGATATAACAAGCATATATGAAAATATTATCACTCTTAAAATAACACTAGATAATGACCGAGCTTTGTTCGGTATTTTTTTTTGATAAATTGTGTTTTTTAGAAATTATATTTAAATACGAATGACATATTGATAAAATGATGAAATATGAATAATATTTTTCGATCTTACCGACAGAATAAATAAAAAATATGAATGGGTTATTTAAAAAAAATCAAAATTATCGAAAAAGTTGATTATTGAAAACACGAATAAAACAATATTTTCTGAAAATAAATCATAGCTAAATCGATTTATCGCCACCGAAATCCGAAATCCCCTGTATACTGTATACTAAATTTTATGAAAATCGTTGGAGCCGTTCCGAGATTCAGATTATGTATATATTTATATACAAGAATTGCTCGTTTAAAGATATAAGATAACCCATAACACATAATAGATTCAAAGAAACACATTAAAACCCGTTAGAAATAGGCGTTAAACTAGATTATTCTCGTTTACTTTGTTAGCACATAAATTACTGTATGAATCTAGCTCTAGGAAGTGTTTCAGATGTAAGTGGGTCTAGGTAATAGTCAAATAAATCAACTGCTGGATGATAACGAGTTCTTCAATGTTGCAGACGATCGATGTTGTAGCATTAGCAATTCAGATTGCATGGTTCATAGTTAGTTGGACCGGGGAAAACTTCACAAACTCGATGTACATTGTATACGGATTAATTACTGGTGGTAGGACATCTTGTGAGTCCGCACGGGTAGGTACCACCGCCCTGCCTATTTCTGCCGTGAAGCAGTAATGCGTTTCGGTTTGAAGGGTGGGGCAGCGGTTGTAACTATACTGAGATCTTAAAACTAATATCTCTAGTAGGTGACGGCATTTAAGTTGTAGAAGTCTATGGGCTCAGGTACTCTAGCACCAGGTGGGCTGTGAGCTCGTCCACCCATATACGCAATAGACAAAAAAATACCTAAAAAAATCATGGAAAAGAAAGTTCTGAGTTACTCAGTCGCTGATTTGTTACTGAGCTCACAGTCCACTGACATCGAAGTCTCAGCTACGTTGGAATGACAGATATCCTACTATACGAAATAAGTTTAGGTAATGGTAGGAATAGACAGAACGGTAGTAGCCGTCGGAACGTCGAGTTCCTTTGCATGGGTTCGGATCGGGCCAAGGAGAAATCCTTACTACCCAGGCTTGAACCATAGTACTACCAACGCATAAGAATTCATGCTATACACATTATACACACTACAGATGGGAAGTAAGGTTAGGAGAAAAGGAAGCTAGAAAATAAGATACTCGAATTTGTTGATTATTGATCGCGCCGGCTCATTCATTAACTTTATATATAGGTATAGGTCTAGCTTATAGGTCTTAGCAATGTAGTCGGGTGACAAGTCTAATGCTTAATATGTGTAGGGACACAGTTTGTTATGTAAACAAAATTGTTCGTGGTCATAACATGCGGCTGCGCCCGCAAGCTCCGTTGCGTTTTTACTTTTTAAGTTTAGTCGCGAATAAACGCCCTGGTTAACCAGTTATGTTATTTAATTATCTCACTTCCGATAACGCCCTGAACCATTATTGACCACTACAAAAATAACTCCTAAAGTGGTGACCCCGACGGTCGCGAATAAACGCCCCGGTTAACTAGTTATGTTATTTAATTATCTCACTTCCGATAACGCCCGGAATCATTATTGACCACTACAAAAATAACTCTTAAAGTGGTGACCTCGACGGTCGCGAATAAACGCCCCGGTTAACCAGTTATGTTATTTAATTATCTCACTTCCGATAACGCCCTGAACCATTATTGACCACTACCAAAATAACTCCTAAAGTGGTGACCCCGACGGTCGCGAATAAACGTCCCGGTTAACCAGTTATGTTATTTAATTATCTCACTTCCGATAACGCCCTGAACCATTATTGACCACTACCAAAATAACTCCTAAAGTGGTGACCCCGACGGTCGCGAATAAACGCCCCGGTTAACCAGTTATGTTATTTAATTATCTCACTTCCGATAACGCACTGAACCATTATTGACCACTACCAAAATAACTCCTAAATATGTTAATATTGACAATCACCGTGTTCTAAGAGTTAAATAACGAACACGCTATGAAGAGTAAATTTTTATTGCTTTAGATATACTGAGAAGGTCATATCTCATCAGGTTTCAGTTGTCAATGGGGCTCATGGAAATCATAACGTGCATGCTGACGAACTTGAAACATGAGAGCGAATTCTCAATTGCGTTGAAAAACGGTTATTGCCAAGTTCCAGTGGTTTCTATACACATAAACTCTCAATAGACTGAGCTACTAATTTAAAAAACTATAAATGGTCTTAAACAAGACAAAGAGAATACGCGATTCAAATAACTACCTTAAATTTCGGTTATATCATTCTAGATGAAGCTTTCTTTAAACTACAAAATAGTTGCGGTTCCTATTGCTTAAAATATGAATCCTCATTAATCTTTTGAATGAATTTTATGCAGATATATTCTAACAAATTAACTGTTACCACCGGATCGGTTTTAGCTAGTAGTGTTTTTTTTTTTGTTTCTCTAAATTACTGTAATGCGTGAATCATTTGCGATAATTAGAAACGGACGAAAGTTATGTGTATTGAGTACTTACGCTTTTAGTCGGTTGTTGTAAACTTTTACAGTTTGCATTAAGTTATAAGGCTTAAGGAAAAATTCGCCTCTTTTTTGTTTTATATTCGCTTTAAGGTCCATTACGGTATTTAACCTTGTTACAGCGTTCCGTGAACACTTACTACATGGTTAAGCTGCAAGTACGCTCTGAGAGTGTATGCTTGCGGCCATGGGCATTCGAAAGAGTACCAGGGAAATCACTCCGTGGTCTTGACAACACGATCATCTACACTTCAACTAAAGAAGCTTGTTTGGCTGCGTGTCTCAATGAGGTAACATTTTTTTTTACTTTGTAAAATCCATATAAATAAAATGTAATGTGTGTAGTTTAAAAAATATATATTATGCTTAAATAGTACATCAAAGTAACAATTAATTTCATAAATTTTTCTATACTGGAGATATTAGAGTCGAATTATTAGAGTGAAATTATTATGTTGTTAGTGGTCCTTGTGATGCGTGTGCAAATATTTAAGTTAATCGGATGTCTTGAAGTTGTTCAAAATGACGTCCAAAGATTACGCTACATACAAAAAATATGTACATACTAAGCTAGCAAAAGCGGCTTAAATAAATATACGGTTGCGTGTTTCCATTCCTTAATCTTAATAATTAATAATAATTTATCAGATTGTGGTGAGGTTTGGTATAGTTGTTTATGCCCTTCAAAGAAGTCTTCTGTTATGATAGCACCGAAGAACGAAAGGTGACGCGAAGATAGTTTAAAAAAACATCGAAGTTTTGCATATATGTATGTAGTTCGCGATAGTGGCTGCACAGCGTTTAGAAGTCGTTGTGGCCTAAAGGAGAAGACGTCCGGTGTATTCGTGTTGAGCGATGCACTGGTGTTCGAATCTCAGGCTGGTACCAATTTTTCTAATGAGATACGTACTCAACAAATGTTCACGGTTGACTTCCACGGTGAAGGAATAGCATCGTGTAATAAAAATCAAACCCGCAAAATTATAATTTGCGTAATTACTGGTGGCAGGACCTCTTGTGAGTCCGTGCGGGTAGGTACCACCACCCTGCCTATTTCTGCCGTGAAGCAGTAATGCGTTTCGGTTTGAAAGGCAGGGCAGCCGTTGTAACTATACTTGAGACTTTAGAGCTTACATCTCAAGGTGGGTGGCGCATTTACGTTGTACATGTCTATGGGCTCCGGTAACCACTTAACACCAATAAATAAATAAAAGCGTGACCGGGTTTCTCTACTAGTTAATATTTGCCAGATGGAAGTTATACAACGGCTCCTTATTTATGGAATATCCACCACTTGAATTATAAGTTTGAGCATAGCTAACAAAACAGCGCCGTGCTGAAGATAGCCTCTATAATTTGAATGGCCGCAAGGAAAAACTCGTAGCTTGGCTTGTCACGTTTCAAAAGTAACCCTCCGTGCAGGATGACAGATAAATTGCTACGTAAAGAAACTGTTAGTTTAGTATTGTACTATCATCTACTTGTAGAGGGCGTAACGTGTTTCGTTTACGACAATAAGCATTATGGAAAAGTCGCAATTTTAAAATGCAATTTACAGTTCCAATTCAATATCTGTTTAACAGTTTCATTCCAGTTTTAGTTCACGAGATGCAGGCGAAATTATAGGGGCGTGTTTATTTGAGACGACTTTGTTGACTTTAGGGTTTGGTTACATTGTTTGAAATTATCTACATTTTATGTTCAACACCGTAACAAGTAGTTGGGTGCAACAGTACAATAGAGATAATAAAGTCATGTACGAAATTGATAAGAATTTATTTATAGTTGAAACTATACCTACCGATACCGGTCAAATTGATGGCTTTCAAACTTTTGTAAAATTCACGTATTTAAACCTTAAAATATAGAAAAAAGAGAGAGGTGTACTTATGGACACCCGGTTGGAACGGAGTTCTTTTTGATATTCAGTTTTTTATGCTTGTATAGGTATTTATTAGATAAAAAATAAAGAGTTATTATGAAAAAATTAAGTGTAACATCAAATGTGAATAAAATTGGTAATGCAGATAAATTTCTGGAATATGAGTGAAAAAATTATTTGACTATTTTATTATTTCTTAAAAATGGATAAAACAATTCATTTTCTCAAAATTTACGGCACACTGAATAGATGGAAAAAATGAATTTAATATTTTCTTTCATATTTTTTTCACTTTTCCAAGAAAAAAACTACCGACCGTTATATGCATTGAATAATAAAATCCTTAGCTTTTATCGACTAATATTATTTTCCGACAAATTTGAATGATCGCGATAGAAAAATGTATACAAAAAGCGTCGGTAGGATTAGTGTTTAACTTAAACACAATTAATTATAATTTTCAGAACTATAACAATTGTGGTTCATGGTGGGCATCCACCATAAACCACAATTGTTATATTTGAATATGTCTGAATTGTTATATTTGAATGAGTCTGAAAAACTTTTATGACTGCATAGTCATTCAAATCTGAAAAAAAATCTTGTTCGCAGAAAAAGTTACCGTGCAGATCCGCAGAATATGAGTACGGAAGCATGAGATGTGCCCTGAGTGATTCCGACAGACGCACCGCTCAACATTTTGTTCAACTAACCGATACCCCTGGCACCGATTACTTTGAGGTAAATCACTAAGCACATATGAGGCCATCAGCGCAAAAGTGGCGTAATCCATAATTTTTTATATTCAAGCTTATATGACGTATATTGGATTTTTTTTAAATATAATAAGTTTCACCCAAAGATAACAGATAGCTTTGTAAACATTATTTTTGCGCGTATTGTTTTTTTTTGCTTACTCAAATTCAAATTCATGAAAATTCAAACCTAATTGCCTCCATACTAAATATGGTAAGCTTAGGCCATATTTGTGCTGACGGCCTCATATAATAACTAAATTTTTGTGTTACCCTTTTAAAGACTATTGGTTACGGTTATTTAGGCAAATATTATGCGACCTTAGTGAACGAATTCGCAGTTCGAATTTGAATTTTATTCTATTGCAATAAATGTTTGAATGTAATCGATTGGAGTCGGCCAGTCACTGTGGTCATTTGATAGTGGCTAGTGCTCCTTAAGGAATCTTAGGTTATATTTTAGCGATAATCTTGCACCGGTATATGAACACACAAATTGCCTATTTTTTGCTGTGAAACAGTCGTGTATTGCGGTAGATAAAGGACAGCAGGTACTATAAAACTGGTGGTCATATCTATGGATCGCCGTAATGACTTAACGCTAGATGTTCCGTGAGCTCGTTCACCGGTATCCGCAACGGAAATATATTTAAAACTGTCTCTGTGTCAAACTACAACACGGATAAGTTTTGTGGTGACATCACTACTGATCGGGGTAAGAAAAAGAAATGAGCAATATGTATTCTCTGTGGTACAGAACTTGTGCCTGAAGGCTGGACAGGCCTGTAAGGGCCAACGCGTCTTCACCGCGCCGCGCGTAGGAGTCGCCGAAGATAAGGTTGCTCAGTATGCAGGACTGCATTACTACACCGACAAAGAGTTACAAGTAAGTGCTTCTCCAATTCGAACCTTAACTAGTCGGGTCAAGCTTAAGTTTTCAACGCGGAAAAAAATTGATTTTGACGTTTTGTAAATCCTGCGAAATCCATTTGCGAAGCGCTAAAACATGATATGAACGCGCAAAGGCTGTCTTTTGACAGCCGGCCATTAAGTTTTTATTAGAATTTCACAAAGAACTTGGACTTAATTTTCTTTTTATTTAATTAAATAACTAAGGTATGTTCTTTTGATGAATAGCATTAGTCCTTTCATAAATTTATGATTTTTCATTTAGTTCTCTCATGAACTTATGTGCCTGTCAAAGAAACGAGTCACCATAAATATGTAGTGTCTGAGTGATTTTATTACTAATTTAATATAAGGTTTTGTCCATTATTATAATTCGTACACGTACACTTGCAGTAGCGTGTGTTGTAGTTCTCCACGGATACGTACCACGGTTCAGCCTATTTCTGTACCGAAACAGTCTCCTGTATATTGGTTTGAAGGGAGAGACTGCGGTCATACAATTGATTTTTCTTAAAAATCACGCCTCAAAACAATTGAATGTATCCGTGTTTGTGATTTCTGCCTATTTCTGCCGTGAAGTAGTAATACGTTTGGGTTTGAAGGGTGGGGTAGCCGTTGTAACTATACTTGAGACCTTAGAACTTATATCTCAAGGTGGGTGGCGTATTTACGTTGTGGATGTCTATGGGCTCCAGTAACCACTTAACATCAGGTGGGCTGTGAGCTCGTCCACCCATCTAAGCAATAAAAAAAACAGATTTATATTCCATAAAATCCACGTAAAACATTACAATTAAATTTACTTTAAACGACCAGTCCCTATTTCCGTGTGAAATTAACTAAGAAGTGAGCAAATTTTCGCGACAATTGTGCAGTGCGCCGGCAAAAAATGCGAACATAATTGTTCGCGGCACGAAAATAAACTGTGACTACAGTGAGTCATTAACTCTCGATAAGCGGATGACTTTGTATGCTGACGCTACAGGTGACGTCAGAGGCGGCTTGTCGGCTTGCATGCGAAATCGAATCTGAGTTCCTGTGCCGATCGTTCCTCTATCTCGGAGCTCCGCACTCCGCTGCCTACAACTGCAGACTGTACCACCTCGACCACCACACGCTGCCCGACGGTCCTTCCGCCTATCTGAACGCCGAAAGACCTTTGATCGACGACGGCGAACCGATCGGAAAGTACTCCGAGAACTTCTGCGAGAGTAAGTAAACATGGATTTTTATCGTTGCTAAATACATATATGTGTTTCACTTGTGAATTTGCATGTTTTATGAAAAACTAGCTGTACCCGTCCGCTTCGCTAGACATTTAAAATTAACATTATTATTTCTCAGCCCCACAAAGATTCTCATCAATAACGCCCCCGAAACTGATGTAGGCAGTCCAACACTCATATAAATTATTAGCCTATCCATTAAGTACATGTATTTTCTACATGGATACCAAGTTTCAAGTCAATCGGATGCATGGTTCAGTAGTTATAACGGAACATCCGTAAAAACCACTGTATAGATACTTAAAATTTGCGACGTTCGTTTTTTTTTTAATTAGGTGCAAATCAATCACTATATGTATCGAAAGCAGTGTTTTCATTTTGATTCAGTGTAACCATACGTAGGTAATTGGATTTAAATGCACTTTTATGGTTAAGTATTTATTCTGCTTGTCTTATTTATATCATTTTGTGACCATATAATGTTAGATGGGCCGCGATCTTATCTAACTGTTTATAGAAAAAGTCCCTAATCTGCACAGAACCACATCTAAAATTGTTTAGTCAGTCTACAACTATCTTAAATGTAATAGAAAATTAAAATAATTTACGTAATTACACATTTGAAATAAAGTTTATTTTTAATTCATATTTAAATCACAGTTTATATTCAAATTAACTTTGTTCATTTTAAATTATATATTATCAAATCACTACGGGAAAGCCTTGTGAAAAAACACATTAATGCGTACATAATTATCGTTGTAGACCATTTCTCATGGCTGCTTATTACAAAATCGTTAACTTGAGAAGCGCTCGTAGTCTTGTTTTCATTTTTTGGCGCCATCATTTCGGAAAACGAATGACAATGAGAAATTACAGCGCCTTTATTAAAAACTTAAAAGAGTATTAAATTAGAGAATTAGCTCGCGTTCCGTGTCTTGCGCCATTAAATATAAATAAAATGCAAATGATTTTGGTCGTTTCACTCAGTTATTTTTCGTGACTTTCATAAGTTATATTAAGTTGAAGAGAAAAATTTATGAAGAACTATGAAATAGCCTGCTTTGAATTATATAGATTAGAACGAGTAAAGTGTAATAGGAAATGTTCAAATAACGTGTCGTACTAGTTTTGGTTCGGCAAGTAACTAGGTTGGAATCTAGTAGGCTGCAATCTGCATTTGTAAAGTCAGCGTCTTGTTGACCGGCAGGGCAATGAACTTTTTGTTGCTCTGACGTAGATTAAAAAGGCTAAGAGAAAATGGAACCTTAAATGAAGTATTAAATAAGTCAGAGCGACTGCTGCGACATAGCGAAAACATGTTGAATTATTTTGTAAAATTTTCGTAACTTTCTACATTAACATTAACATACTAATTTAGTCACAGGATTTACCGTTTAAGCTTTCCAGAAATGTATGTGACTCTAATATCCTTTATTACGAATTCAAACATAAATTATTAATTTTTTTGGCATACAAAATTTGGTTTCGAGGAAAGCCTATTGTCCTGTCATAGTCTCACTGTCAATCCGAAGCGTTGTTTTGAATAATCAATTGATTTGCAAAAACCTACCTCCGCGGCATACGAAACTAATCCATACTAATCTAGGTAACATAAAAAATACTTTTAATATATGATTTTGAAACACAACAACCTGTATACGTAAAAAATGCGTAATCTTCATAAATCATAATGGCAGACTTGGTTAAAGGTAAAGAGCTAAACCAATATGAATGTGGTTTTCATTGATCCATTCTATTAGTTTTCAGTTAATATTCGTATAGGTCAAAGTAAATCGTATCACAAACAGAAAAACAATATGGCCAAATGCCACATTAATTACAAAGCTATTATTGTAAAAAAAAGTATGTAGTGCGCTTGGAATAATTAAAATATTTAATTGTCATTCAGCGAACAAACTGTACACGGTACATGGGTACATTCTCACGTCTCTTGTTCGCAAAAGGCAATGGGCAGTAGTTACGTATGGTCAATTTGTATGTAACACATTTCTGAGAACTTTAGAATGGTCTAAATGGAGTTCTATAGGAACGCTAATGCGTAGCATACGATGTCTTTTAAAATGATGACCTCAGGAGATAAGTCACTTAATAAAACATTTTTTCGTATAATGGTAGCTGGTATTTTGTGTCACAAGAAGTTAATAGGCTGCGTTATTTTAATAATTTTTTTTTTTATAAATTTCAATGTCGGCTAACGGCGTTTTAAAACTGATCGCATATATTATAACATCATCAATTTCTCGATACGAAATTTCGAATACTTAACACCATTCGTGGTCTAGGTCGACTGAAGACAAAATTAAAATGTGAATTAAGAAAATGAATTCTTAAAGTAGATATAGATTTTTTTTAAGTCGTGTCGATTCAATGAGGATTAAATTTTATATTGAGCTGTACTTTTTTTAAACCTTAGGGTACAGTTTTAATGTGGGCTTTCATCTTAAAGGTAAAGGGAACCGAGATCTCAAAATGAGTCTCCAAAGTTTTTTATAAGCAAAAGTTTCCTTAAAACTTCGCCCGTCACCACGAAAACTGTAAATAGTATGATGACAATAAAAAAAAGTGAAATTAACACATAAAAGTAGTTTTAATAATGTGCACGAATCGGGAAAACCGCGGAAGATACATTTTTTTAATTTGCCTACAATTCTTGGAAGTGTGTTAATATTTAACAGATTAATTAGTGTTTTTTAATACGCTTTTATTAGCTTCAGACATATGTATGTATGTATGTATGTAACGGAATTTTTTAACATGATTTTGACCCCCTTCAAAACGTCAGATTAACTCGCAAATTGGTTAACTTATTAAGGACCGATGAAAATTCAATATTAAAAAAAATGAAAAAAAAAACTTGAAAAAATTGAAATTCAACTGAAAATGAAAAATAAATAATAGTTTAAAAAAACTAACAAAATACGCTTTTATAGAAAATCCAACTAAAAAATAGAAAATAAATTTTAATAAATTTGAATTAAAAATAGTGTAAGAAAAAATGATTTTATTGTAAAAAAGCGTGGGGTGCTTTTCAGGATATTATCCAAATAACCCTTCTACTCATATCTGTTCATAAAATATAACTACTGATTGATACCATGCACCCCACGATTTTCTATAAAAGCGTATTTTGTTACTTTTTTAAACTATTTTTTTTTAAATTATATATTTTAATATCGTTCGATCAGATATGCAATAGGATGGCCTATTACTCTTAAATATAATATCAATAAAACTATATCAAGTAACAGCAAGTAAGGAAGGATCACATTTAATGAGTCCAACTAGCATTTAAGTGCCGCATTTAGAACCTGTTATTCAATAAATGATGTCCAGGCCATATAACTACGCAACAGTGGGTTGGCAACGCGTCCGTTTTTGCCGCTAAGCAATCAACCGGACGGTACAGTTAGGCACAGGGTCGGGTTGCAGTAAAACGAATTGTAGAATCGGCTTCTTTTTTTATTTTTCTCTCCTTAGTTTCGTTTTAGTTTCAGAACTTTTATTGTTCTCTGAGAACGTGCTTAGCCGCGCTGACTTTTTCGAATAGTTTACACTCGTTTAATTTTTTGTCGCCCGTTGAGACGGCCGAATTTAGGCGCGGTCGTGATGTAGATGTTCCAATGCGTTTTATGTATTTTCTGTATTCAACTACGAAAACAAAAAAAAAAAAACAAAAAAAAAGACAGTTCTGTTGTGTCAAAATTCACTTCACTACCGTTAGTAGTAAATTAAAAAAAAAGAAAGTAAAGAATGTAGTTGCCACATTTTGATTTGTTGTCATCAAAATATTGGGATGAAGGGATTAACTTTTAACGTATAGCAACATTAGCGAAGTCCATTACTTACGTCGCTTCGATCTACAATAACAACGTAATTAATAGCCGCACACGAATTTCGATTGAACCAAATCGTTTAGCCTAAGTAATTAATTTTATCTCGTGATAATCACGAAACATCAAAAACGAAATGTTCACATTCATATAGGACGGTAAAACTATTTAGATACAGCAATACTAAGCATTTTTGAAATTTTGTCTCTTTAGGCTAATTAATCTCTGATTATAGCTGACAGCTGACTCAATTCTAGGCAAGAGAGTCGTCAGGTTTGAGCCCCGTGAGCTCACCTACTAGTTACGGTTACGCTGGAATAGCCGCTCCAGGCTACCAGCTTAGGTAGGAAAAAAAGGCTAGAAAACACTTTTCAGAAAATAGCATAGTCAGTTTCTATGTTCGTCGTAGATTTTAGATTTAGAGAGAGAGAGAACATACTTTATTGCATACCAAAACACAATTAACACCGGAAAACAGTCAATAAGCGGATACGTTTGTATAATAGGCGGTCTTATCGCTAAAAGCGATCTCTTCCAGACAACCGTTTAATTACCCGAAATTTAGCAATAGGTTCATTGTTTTTTTTTTTCTTGTATTTCATAAAAAATGTTTACTATAGGTACCTACATCTTGAACCTACGAACTTCCGTGTCAGAGACATATATAATACCGCTAGCTAATCTATGAGTGCAATAGAGTTCTACTTAGAGGTCAAAGTTTTATCACCTACGCTTTTTCCAGTTCATAAGTACAAAACTGCTAATCGTTAATAACACGAGAAGGGCGGACGGCGATTGATGTATTGTAAATCACAGTTACTGTTGTCGATACGGATAATTAGTTATCGAACTTTACGTAGTGTGGGCGACCGCGTCCAACATTCCACAAGCTCGCCGCGCTGACGGTGGCCAACGCGTATCGGATCACGGGAGTCGACCTTCATGTTAGCACACTTTGAAATGTTCACACGTTAAAGCTACACTGTAATTACGTGTCCTTCTTCAATCGAGGCTTGTGGAGAGTATTAAGCGGTAGGCAGCGGCTTGGCTCTGCCCCTGGCATTGCTGAAGTCTATGGGCGACGGTAACCACTCAGGTGGGCCGTGTGCTCATCAGCTTACAAGGGCAATA